ATTGATTTTCACGTATTGAGCCAACTTTGCATTCCTGGGATAAATCCCACTTGGTCATCATATAAGCCTTTGTATATGCCGCATAAATCAGTTTGTTAGTATTTTTTTGATGGTTTTTGTGTATGTATGCATAAGGCTCTTATATTGGTCTGTAGTTTTCTTAAGTTATCTTTGTCTGAGTTTGGTATCAGGCAAAACAGTTCTCAGAACAACTTGGGAAGTGTTCCCATGTCATCAGTTTCTTTGGGAGTGTATAAAGGATGGTGTTAATTCTTTTTTAAATGCTTGGTAAACTTCACCAGTGAAGCCATCTGGTCTTGGACTTTGTGGGAAATTTTTTGTATTGCTAATTTGATCTTTTAATTGTTATGGGTCTTTTAAATTTTTTATTTCTTCTTGAATTTGTTAGTGTGTTTCTAGGAAATCGTCCATTTCATCTAGATTTTCTAATGTGTTGCATACAATTGTTCATAGTATTCCTTCATAATTATTTTCATATTTGTCAGGTGAATGTGATAACCACGACACTACAGAAACAATTATTTTTATATTTGTAAGTTTGGAAGTAGTGTTCCCTCTTAAGTATTTACACCCTCTGTCTTTCTTGGTCAGGTTAGCTACAGGTTTGTGTATTTTTTTCAATCTTTCCAGAGACCCAACTGTTGGTTTTGTTGATTTTCTATATGCTTTTTCCATTCTCTATTCCATTTATTACCACTCTAATCTTTATTGCTTCCTACCCTCTACTTTTTTTGTGTTGGTTTAGTCTTCTTTTTCATTTTTCTTAAGATGAAAGATCAATTTAGTAATATAAGCTTTTCTCTTTTATTTTTGGCTTTTTCATATATAAATTTGAAACACTTTATTTCCAGCATCCCGTAAGTTTTGGTATGTTATATTTTCATTTTAATTCTCCTCAAATAATTTTATGATTCCCTTATGATTTCTTCTTTGACCCATTAATTATTTGGGTGTGTTGTTTACACAAATTTGTGGATTTTCTGAATTTTCTTTTGTTATTTATTTGTAATTTTATTACATTTTGTATGTTTTTTCTATGATGTGTGGTTTATCCTAATGAATGTTCTGTATACATTGATAAGAATGTGTATTCTGCTGTTGTTGGGTGGAATGGTGTATAGATGTATGATCTAATTTGTTTATAGTGTTCAAGTCTTCCCTTTTTTGTCCATCTTCTAATTGTTCAGTAGATTATTGAAAGTAGAGTGTTGAAGTCTTCTATTATTGAATTGTATTTCTCTCCCTTCAATTCTGTCAGGTTTTGCCTCATGTACTTTGGGGCTATATTGTTAGGTGTGTATAATTAGTATGTTTTTTGATAATATTGACCCATTTACCATTATCAAATGCCCTTCTTTATCTGTAATAACAATTTTGTTTTAATGTCTATTTTGCCTGATGCTAGGAAAGTCATTCCCACCCTCCCCCCTACCTTTTTTTTTTGGTTACTCTTTGCCTGGTATGTCTTTTAAAGCCTTTTTACTTTCAACCTATCCATTTATCTTTAGTATAATTACTGATAAGATAGGATTTCTATCTGCCATTTTGCCATTTGTTTCTATATCTTATGGTTTCTTTCTGTTCCTCTATCCTTCATTACTCTCTTCTTTTGTATTAGATGTATACTTTCTAGTGTATTATTTTTATTCCATTGTTATTTTTAAAATATATATTTTTTAGTTATTTTCTTAGTGATTGCTTTGAGGATTACAATTCCCACCTTAGATAACATTGCAATTTAAATTAATAGCAACTTGGGGCGCCTGGGTGGCTCAGTCGGTTGAGCGACCGGCTTCGGCTCAGGTCATGATCTCACGGTTTGTGAGTTTGAGCCCCGTGTCAGGCTCTGTGCTGCCAGCTCAGAGCCTGGAGCCTGGAGCCTACTTCTGATTCTGTGTCTCCCTCTTTCTCTGACCCTCCCCCACTCATGCTCTGTCTCTCTCTGCCTCAGAAATAAACATTAAAAAAATTTTAAATTAATAGCAACTTAATGTTACTAATATATGAAACTTTGTTCCTATATAGCTCTGTGCTCTCCTTTGTGCTCCTCCTGTCATACAAATTACATTTTTATATATTCTGTACCCATATATAGTGATTTATAATTACTGAATTATGCAGTTGTCTTTAAATTGGATAAGAGAAAAAGGAGTTACTAACAACAGTGCATTTATACTTTCTTTTCTTTGGCTATTAAAAAATTTTTTTGAATGTTTATTTTTGAGAGATAGAGAGAGACAGAGCATGATTGGGGAAGGGGCAGAGAGAGGGAGACACAATCTGAAGCAAGCTCCAGGCTCTGAGTTGTCAGCACAGAGCCTGATGCAGGGCTTGAACTCACGAGCCGTGAGATCATGACCTGAGCTGCAGTCAGATGCTCACCTGACTGAACCACTCAGGTACCCCTATACTTTTTTTTTTAATTTGCCTATGTAGTTACCTTTGCCTAGTACTCTTTATATGAATTTAAAGTACTATCTAGGTCCTTTCATTTCAGCCTCTTGGTCTTGGTCTTTCCTGTAGGGCAGGTGCACACCAGTGGCACATTCTCTGGATTTTTGTTCATCTGGGAATCTCTTAATTTGTCCTTCATTTTTGAAGGATCCTTTTTCTGCTTATCAGAACTCTTGGTTGAAGTTCTTATTCCTTCAGCACTTGGAACATGTCATCCCACTGCCTCTGGCCTCCATGGATTCCAATGAAAAGTATGCTGTTAATCTTCCTGAGGAGTCCTTGTGCAAGAAGAGTCACCTCCCTGCTTTCAAGATTCTGTCTCTATCTTTGACTTTTGGCAGATTGATAATGATGTGTCTTGGGGTGGATCTCTTGTAATTTGTGTTCTTGTATTCTTGTGATTTGTTGAGCTTCTTGAATATGGAAGTTTGATCATAATTGGAAAGCTTTCACACATTATGTCTTCACACACAATATTATTTTGGACTCCTTTATTCTTTCGTCCCTTTCTGAGACTCCTGTTATATATGCAGGCGTGCTTGATGCTGTCCCATGGGCCCTGAGGACTTATTCATTTTTCTTCATTCTGTTTTGTTTCCTTTCTTCAGATTGGATGGTTTCTGTTGACTTAGCTTTCAGTTCAGTGGTTCTTTATTCTCCCTGCTTAGATCAGCCATTGCACTCCTCTAGGGCCATTTTATTTTATAACTCCAGAATTTTGAGTTAGTTCTTCTTTAAAATAGTTATCTCCTCCTTGATATTCTCCATTTTGGTTAGACTTCGTTTTTTTTGTACTTTATTTAGTTCTTCAGGGATGGTTTAAGTTCTTTGAACATATTTAAAATAGCTGATTTCAGGTTTTCGTCTAGTTAGTCAATATTTGGGCTTCCTCAGCATATTTTTTATTAATTGCTTTTTCCCTATGCATATGTCATAGTATCATGTTTTCTTGCATGCCTATTTTTTGTTGAAAACTGGACGCTTAAAATTCTATAAGGTGACGAGTCTGGAAATAAGGTTCTCCCCCTTCTCAGGGATTCTTGTTATTTCTGCTTTCTGTAGCTGTTGTTGGTTTAGCGACTTTTCTAAGTGACTTCTTTGGTTTGTATTCTGTGTTGTACTTCGCCCCTGAGGACTCTGCTCTGTGGTAAGGCAATTCTTGGATAGAGATTTCCTTGAATGCCATGTGTGGAAGTCATGAGTCCCCCAGTCTTTGCCTGGAGGCTCTGTGTGCCTGTTGGGGCACACCTTCAGTACATAGTGCTGTCATTCACCGCCCTGCCTTAGCCTTCATGGTGTGCTTATGCAGAGCCTCCAGATCAGCTGGGGGGTTACAGTTTCAAGCTTTCTCAGCTATTTCCTGAGCATATGCCCAGATCACTATGAGTTGCCTTCTAGATTCCCAGGAATTTTTAGGAACTTTTCAAAATTTAGGCATCTCATTCCCCAGCTTTTCCTTTTAGGCTTTTGGTTTGCATATTATTTACCTCAGCTATTACCCACTGCTTTAGGCAGTTGTGAAGTGCCTGTGATTGTTTTCCACAAATGTCCCCCAGGGAAAAGACTTTTTACACGAAGTGAATTTTATAAGTCAGGCGAGGGGTGCCTGGGTGGCTAAGTTGGTTAAGCTGCTGACCTGGGCTCAGGTCATGATCTCACTCATGGGTTCGAGCCCAGTGTCAAGTGCTGTGCTGACATCTCGGAGCCTGGAGCCTGCTTCAGATTCTGTCTCCCTCTCTCTGTCCCTCCCCCCATTCGTACTCTGTCTCTGAAAAATAAATAAATGTTAAAAATTAAAAAAAAATAAGTCAGGTGAAATACAGATAGACTGTAAGTGACATTTTCTGGTGAACCACCTGATAGGTCAAATGATGACAGTTCTTTGAGAATGAGGCTTTGAAGGAGCTCCAGCCCATTCTGCTCTCTCCAGGATATTGGTTTTTAAGGGTGCTGCAGAGCCACAGAGCAGGGGTGGGACTGAGGCACAGTAAAAACATCACAAACACCATGGATACTACAATGTGGCTGTTCTTGCTGAGGATTCAGCATTTTTTTATTGAGTAAATACTCCTGCATTGCTCCAAGCCTTTGGTGAATTTCCAGAGTTCTGAAAAGTGGGTTCTGACATTTTTTGCTAGCTATCTTGTTCTTCTCTGGAGGAAAGAATTTTCAGAGTTCTCTATACCACCAGTTTTGCTGACTCTAATTCATAAATATTTAGCGCTCTCTTCTTTGATATGTTATTTTTCTCAAACCTGTGCATATTAAATAAAAACTGTTTGAATTGAGGTTGCAGGAGACCGTGTGGAGCAGTCCCTGAGCAAGGGACTATTTTTTTTAATATAATTTACTGTCAAATTGGTTTCTATACAACACCCAGTGCTCATCCCAACACATGAAGGGGCTATTGATTGGGTAGAATGATGCCAGCCTCTGCTGGACAGAAGGGCCTGAGGGCTTAAAGGGTGTCAGCTGTATGGCAGTCAGGAACTGCTGATCAGCCATTGTTGCTTTGTGTCTCCCAGGTTAAGGCTGCCAGGGATTCAGCTCTGCTCACATGGATGGGACAGAGATCTGACAGCAGAGGCCAGAGGACCTGGCTCTGCCACACGCCTTCAGCCTGGAAGACTGGAGCCTCAGATGATGGACCTATGAGTGTGTCTGAGAGCCACAGGGTGGTCCCTGAACCACTGGGGTCTGAGTTCAGCAGGGAGACTGCCTTGTCCCTTGGCCTTCAGGTGATGGTGCCCTTCATGTTTGCAGGACCGGGACTATCCAGGGCTGGTGTGCTTTTGAACTATTTCCAGGTAAGAGGGAAATAAATGGGAATGGTGGTGTCAGGGGCACTGTTGAATGCCATCCCTGAAGAGTAGGCCTCTACACTTTGCATCCAGCTTGAGGGACAAGGGACAGGACGTCCTCTTCTTAAATACCATTTTTCTACAAATTGAGTAAGATTCTTTTAGTTACTGGTGACAGGGACTAAATTTAACCCAGGTTAAGCTTAAAAAAGACAATTTATTAGCTCATATAATTGAAATATGTAAGGGGTTAGATTTCAGGCATGGCATGATCCAGGTGCTTAAATGATTAACAGGATGCTGGCTTTTTCTCTGTCACTCATCTATCATTTATTTTCAGGTAGGATTCTATACCTAGAGGGGAAGATGGCCCTTGGCATTTAATTTCAACTTATTACAGGCGTTCTTAGAAAACAGAGAGATTTCTTTGTCAATGTCCACATCAGCCTCTAAAAATTGATCCTAATGTCAGGTCTACTCCTGTTCCAGTTCCTGTTCCCTGAGGGAGAACATTCTCTGTTTAGCTCACCTAACTTACATTGTCATCACTCTTGGAGGGGAGGCAGGGCACCTTGATTTGCAGCCCTACCAGAATTCCACAGAGTGAGGAACTGGGAGTTACCTCTCAGACAAAGAAGTTGCCAGTGTACCCTGACTTTCCTGTTCTTCTACTGTCATTACTTTCATTGGTGTGGTCTTCAGAGGTTCTTCCTGGAAAGGCATAGTCCCTAAGAATATTCTAATTCATAACTGGCTAGATCTGTCCTATTAGTTAGCAGTCAGCAGAGAACAAAGGCTTTCTAGAGTGAGGCAGGCTGGGAGAAGCAGGGCTGATGTGTGTGACAGTTCCTGGCCTGTGCCACACTCAGTGCTCCACGGTGTCTGTGCCTGGTAACCTAGGCCCTGCCCCTCATGAATTTAAGTCCCAGTTCTACTACTTAGCAGTAAGTCTGGTGATTTAAAATTTTTTAAAGTATTTTTTAAGTTGATTTATTTATTTTGAGTGTGAGAAACAGCAAGTGCGGGAGAGGCGGGAGGGGGGGGAGAGAATCCCAAGCAGGCTCCACACTGTCAGTGTAGAGTCCAATGTGGGGCTCAAACCCATGAACCATGAGATCATGACCTGAGCTGAAATCAAGAGTTGGATGCTTAACTGACTGAGCCAACTATCCCTAAATTTTTTTTAATGCTTTTTTTTTTCATTTTAGGGAGAGAGTGTGAGCAGAGGAGGGGCAGAAAGAGGGAGACACAGAATCCAAAGCAGTCTCCAGGCTCTGAGCTGTCAGCACAGAGCCTGTTGTGGGGCTCAAACTCACGCACCACAAGATCATGACCTGAGCTGAAGTCGGATGCTTAACAGACTGAGCCACCCAGCCGCCCCTAAATTCTTTTTAAACCAACACTAAAATCAAGAGATTTCATGTAAAAGTCTGAATTTCTGTTTTCTGTTGAAAACTTGGCAACTCTCACAGCATTGGCCCCACTTCCTCTCATGGCACAGTGGGTGGTTGCAGCTGCCTCTAGGTGGCCACGTTCTCTGGTTTGCCACAGTCCCCACCATCCCACTGCATTCCGTCACCTGCTTGGCCCTGCCCCAGTCTGGAGTTCTCAAAGACCCTTCCAGTACCCAGCTGTCTAGTTCCTCATGATGTCACAGCACCAGTGACCACCAGCTCACTCCCAGAATCCACCTGGACCTTGCCCGGCCCCAGGATGGCTGTCTCTTAAACCAGAGCCCCTATCCCAGTCTGATTCAGTCCCTGCCTGCAAGTTTGGTCTCTCTCTGCCCTCCAGACCCCAGTCCTCTCCTTTTTCTTGGTGACCTAGTCCACATCTTTGGTGACATGGTCAGTCAGCACTGTGGTAGCCTCAAGAGCACCTCAGTGTCCCAGCCTCTTTGCCGCCCTACTTACTTCAGGTGCTGTTCCCTGCAGTCCATTCTCAATGCCACTGATTTGCAAGATGCCTATTTTATTGAGTGTTCTCAGTATGGTGTCACTGAGGCATGTAACCTCTATACATACACACATACCTCACACTTCTATATTTGTATATACATCCATATATATCAACCCCCTAAGCATACACATATTCGTTTAGAATGTACACACACAGGCTTATAAATTATATAGGGAGAGGCAGTACAATAGTGAAATGAATTGCTTGAGAGCGCAGAGTCTAGAGCTAGTCTCACTGGGTTTGAGTCCAACCTTTGTCACTTACACAAGTTGTTCTTTTTCCCCGTTTTCTAATCTGTAAATTAGAATTGAGAGACCTGGAAAGATGGCAGCTTAGGAGGACACTGGGCTCACCTCGTCCTGCTGATCACTTAGATTCCACCCGCATCTGCCTAATAACCCAGAAAACTACCAGAAGACTAGCAGAATGGACTCTCCGGAGCCAAGTGTAGACAAGAGGCCCGTGGACAAGGGTAGGAAGGTTGGAGAGGCAGTGCCTGCTACACGGACTGGTGGGAGGGAGCCGAGGTCGTGGAGGGGCAGCCTGCTGGGCAAGGCAGAGCCCCTTGCAAAAGCAGAGGGGCCAGACTCCATGGGTTCTGACAGCCAGCGGGACTTAACATCTGGAGTGTTAAAAGTAAACAGCTCTGCTCTTGGAGAGCAGGGAGGGCAAGAAGACGCTGGGAGGGAGAGTTGTTGAGCCCCGGAAGACAGAGTTCAGCTCAGTGGGGGAACAAAGGTGCTGGCAAGCGCCATTTCCCTCTCCCATCCCCCAGCCAAAATTCCAAAGGGAGCCGGTTACCATCACCGAACTTGCTTGCGCCACGCAAACGCCCAATGCTGTGCTTCTGTGGATCCATCCCTCCAATGGGTCTGCCTCCCTCCCGGTGCTGCAGCGCCCCTCCTGCAAGCGACCACTGATGGCAAAGTGAGCTAAGCCTGCCACTCCCACCCCTGTGCACGTTGCGGATCAACCCCAGCTAATATGCCAGATTCCATCCAAGCAACACCACAAGCCTGGCAGTGTGCAAGTAGCCCAGACAGGGGCCACACCACTCCACAGTTAGTCCTGCCCCTGGGGGAGGGGAAGATAAGGTACACACCAGTCTGACTGTGGCCCCAGTGGTGGGCTGGGGACAGACATCGGGTCTGACTGTGGCCTGCCCACCAACACAAGTAACTCCAGACCGCACAGGGGAAGTGTCCTGCAGTTTGGAGCCACTGGAGGAACTACCCAAAATGACAAAATGGAAGAATTCTCCTCAAAAGAAACTCCAGGAAGTAGTGACAGCTAACAAATTGATCAAAAATGATTTAAGCAATATAACAGAACAAGAATTTAGAATAATAGTCATAAAATTAATTGCTGGGCTTGAAGAAAGCATAGAGGACAACAGAGAATCTATTGCTACAGAGATCAAGAGACTAAGAAATAGTCATGAGGAGTTAAAAATGGTATAAATGAGGTGCAAAATAAAATGTAGCTGGCCGTAGCATGGATTGAAGAGGCAGAGGAGAGAATAGGTGAATTAGAAGATAAAATTATGGAAAAAGAGGAAGCTGAGAAAAAGACAGATAAAAAAATCCAGGAGTATGAGGGGAGAATGAGAGAACTAAGTGATGCAATCAAATGGAAAAATATCCATATCATACAAATTCCAGAAGAAGAAGACAGAAAGTGGCTGAAGGTGTAGTTGAACAAATCATAGCTGAGAACTTCCCTGATCTGGGGAAGGAAAAAGGCATTGAAATCCAAGAAGCACAGAGAACTCCCTTCAGACGTAACTTGAATCGATATTCTGCACGACATATCATAGTGAAACCGGCAAAATACAAGGATAAAGAGACAATTCTGAAAGCAGATAGGGATAAACAGGCTGTAACTTACAAAGGTAGACACATAAGAGTAGTGGCAGACCTATCTACTGAAACTTAGGCCACAAAGGAATGGCAGGAAATCTTCAATGTGATGAACAGAAAAAAATATGCAGCCAAGAATCCTTTATCCAGCAAGTCTGTCATTCAGAAAAGAAGAGATAAATGTTTTCCCAAACAAACAAAATCAAGGAATTCATCACCACTAAACCAGCCCTACAAGAGATCCTAAGGGGGAGTACCAGAGACATCACTACAAGCATGAAACCTATAGACATCACAATAACTCTAAATCCATATCTTTCAATAATAACAGTGAATGTAAATGGACTAAATGCTCTAACCAAAAGACATAAGGTATCAGAATTGATAAAAAACAAACAATAAAACAAACAAGACCCATCTATTTGCTGTCTACAAGAGACTCATTTTAGACCTGAGGACACCTGCAGATTGAAAGTGAGGGGATGCAGAACTATCTATCATGCTACTGGAAGTCAAAAGAAAGCTGGAGTAGCCATACTTATATCAGACAAACTAGACTTTAAGTTAAAGGCTGTAACAAGAGATTAAGAAGGGCATTATATAATAATTACAGGGCCTATCCATCAGGAAGAGCTAACAATTATAAATGTCCACGTGCCGAATACGGGAGCCCCCAAATATATAAAATAATTAGTCACAAACATAAGCAACCTTATTGATAATTGCAGGGGACTTTAATACCCCACTTACAATAATGCATAGATCATCTAGACACAGAATAAAGAAACAAGGGCCCTGAATAATACATTGAATCAGATGGACTTGACAGATATATTTAGAACACTGCATCCCAAAACAACAGAATATACTTCTCGATTGCACATGGAACATTCTCCAAGATAGATCACATACTGGGTCACAAAACAGCCCTTACTAAGTATAAAAGAATTGAGATCATACCATGCACACTTTCAGACCACAAGGCTATGAAACTTGAAATCAACCACAGGAAAAAGTCTGGAAAACCTCCAAATGCATGGAGGTTAAAGGACATCCTACTAAATAACGAATGGGTCAACCAGACAATTAGAGAAGAAATTTAAAAATATATGGAAACAAATGAAAATGAAACCACAACAATCCAAACCCTTTGGGATGCAGCAAAGGCAGTCCTGAGAGGAAAATACATTGCAATCCAGGCCTTTCTCAAGAAACACGAAAAATCCCAAATAAGAAATCTAACAGCGCACCTAAAAGAACTAGAAGCAGAACAGCAAAGAAACTGCAAACCCAGAAGAAGAGAAATAATAAAGATCAGAGCACAAATAAACAATATAGAATTCAAAACAAAACAAAACAAAAACCCCACAGGAACAGATCAATGAAACTGAGTTGGTTTTTGAAAAAATAAACAAAATTGATAAACCTCTAGCCAGGCTTCTCAGAGAGAAAAGAGAGAGGATCCAAATAGATAAAATCACAAATAAAAAATGGATTTATTACAACCAATCCCTCAGAAATACAACCAATTATCAGGGAATACTATGAAAAACTATATATCAACAAACTGGACAAACTGGAAGAAATGGACAAATCCCTAAACACCCACACCACGCACTACCAAAACTCAAACAGGAAGAAATAGAAAATATGAACAGACCCATAACTAGTGAAGAAATTGAATCAGTTATCAAAAATCTTCCAACAAATAAGAGTCCTGGACCAGATGGCTTCCCAGAGGAATTCTACAAGACATTTAAAGCAAAGTTAATGCCTATCCTTCTCAAGCTATTCCAAAAAATAGAAATGGAAGGAAAATGTCTAGACTCCATGTAAAAAGCCAGCATTACTATGATACCCAAATACCAGACAGAGACCCAACAAAAAAGGAGAACTACAGGCCAATGACCCTGATGAACATGGATGCAAAAATGTTCAACAAGATACCAGGAAATAAAATTCAATAGCATATAAAAAGAATTATTCATCATGATCAAGTGGGATTCATTCCTGGGCTGCAGGGCTGGTTCAATATTCACAAATCATTCAATGTGATATATCACATTAATAAAAGAAAAGAACCATATGATCCTGTCAATCGATGCAGAAAAAGCATTTGACAAAATACAGCATCCTTTCTTAATAAAGACCCTCGAGAAAATCAGGACAGAAGGAACATACTGAAACATCTTAAAAGCCACTTATGAAAAGCCCACAGTTAATATCATCCTTCATGTGGAAAAACAGAGCTTTCCCCTGAGATCAGGAACATGACAGGAAAGGCCACTCTCACTGCTATTGTTTAACATAGTGTTGGAAGTCCTAGGATCAACAGACAACAAAATGAAATAAAACGCATCAAAATTGGCAAAGAAGAAGTCAAACTTTCACTTTTTGCATATGACATGATGCTCTACATGGAAAACCCGACAGACTCCACTAAAAGTCTGCTAGAACTGATCCATGAATTCAGCAAAGTCTCAGGGTACAAAAGCAATGTCCAGATATCAGTGCATTTTTATACACCAATAATGAAGCAACAGAAAGAGAAATAAAGAAACTGATCCCATTTACAATTGTACCAAGAACCATAAAATACCTAGGGATAAACCTAACCAAAGATGTAAAAGATCTGTATGTGGAAAACTATATAAAGCTTATGAAGGAAATTGAAAAAGACACAAAGAAATGGGAAAACATTCCATGCTCACAGATTGGAAGAATAAACATTGTTAAAATGCCAATACTACCCAAAGCAATCTACACATTCAATGCAATCCCAATCAATATTTCACGGGCTCTCTCCTCAAGGCTGGAAAAAACACTCCTAAAATTTGTGTGGAACCACAAAAGCCCCTAAATAGCCGAAGTAATATTGAAGAAGAAAACCGGAGTGGGAGACATCACAATCCCAGACTTTAGCCTGTACTATAAAGCTGTAATCACCAAGACAGTATGGTATTGGCAAAAAGCAGACACATAGACCAATGGAATAGAGACCCCAGAATTGGACCCACAAATGTATGGCCAACTAAGATTTGACAAAGCAAGGAAGAGTATCCAATGGAAAAAAAAGTACCTTCAACAAATGTTGCTGGGAAAACCGGACAGCAATATGCAGAAGAATGAAACTAAACCACTTTCTTACACCATACACAAAAATAAACTCAAAATGGATGAAAGACCTGAATGTGAGACAGGAAACCATCAAAATCCTAGAGGAGAAAGCAGACAACAACTCTATGACCTCAGCCACAGCGATTTCTTCACACATCTTCAAAGGCAAGGGAATTAAAAGCAAAATGAACAATTGGGACCTCATCAAGATAAAAAGCTTCTGCACTGCGAAGGAAAGAATCAATGAAACTAAAAGGCAACCAAGGGAATGGGAAAAGATATTTGCAAATGACATATCAGACAAAGGGCTAGTATCCAAAATCTATAAAAAAACTCACCAAACACCACACCCGAAAAATAATCCAGTGAAGAAATGGGTAGAAATGTGTGGCCAACCAAAACACTAGTTTATTTGAAGGTTCCCAGGGAGAACGCTTGTAGATAGGCTATGCCAGTGGTTAGGGGCAGATCCCACCTCCCATGTGCGACAAGAGAAAGGGAAGGCAGCTACCT